AAAATAAATACCTACATGTAGAAAACTAGCTTTATTTCTGCTACAGTAACAGTTGCTCCCTAGGGATGGCTCTGATTTATAGTATTTGCTTGGCAGATACAAAGAGGTGCTGTGTATTTTATATTTATAACTCATAAATATTGAGATTAGGTTTCACACATAATGGACTGGATTATGGGCTGCTTTCTCTTCACGGCTGTATCTGCAAAAGGAAGAGCACATGGATCCAATGGCAATCTCTTCTTGCAGTTCTTCCTAAGCATTAATTTGTCATAAATGGGTACAGTTTAGAGTCTGCTATAATATTTGCTACTTGGCAACAGTTCCTAAGGCAATACCTGAGCCCATGCCAGCTAGGGCATCTCCTCCCTGTTGAAACTCCGGGTCTGATTGGGGGGAGCGGTGAGAGGCAGCAGTGCTGAGGAGATAAGGGGATGCTGCACTGCTTGCTACTAGGATACGTTCTGGCAGAGCCACTAAAAGCTACGCATACTAAAATAATACACAGAGAACAAAATCACATCAGCTTTCAAAGATTTTTAGAAGGAATAAACCATACTGAAATTAATCGTGAAAAGATGACAAGCTATGTTAAGGCTTACACTTATTATCAGCTACTAAGAGATGACTTTTTTGATACAGAACAGTATTTTGCCAGTAATACATACAGCCACTGATGTTCTTAAAAAAAAAAAAAAAAAAAAAAAAAGGGCATTTAAGCCAAAGGGCCTGGGTAGCTAAACACCCATAACAACAGTCTATCCAGGTGCCAGCCCCAGCTTCTTCTGAAGGTTCAGCGGGAAAATGCTTTGCAATGTATTCAAATAATTTATTTCAACAATTAGCTTGGTCAAAGCAGGGAAAGCTGTTGGAAGTTGAAATGAAAGCTTTTATTTCATGTTAGGAACAAAAATTAATACAAATGGACGGTATGACTAAATACATAGAAATCTATAGAACTGCACATTAAATGTGTATTAATATTGGGAATCTTCCTATGTAATAAAAAGCACCATATTTATTGCACAGACCACTTTTAGCTGCTAGTTAGATGTAATGAGGGTTAAACAACTATTTTTTTCTTTAGAAAATAAGCAAAAACTACAAATACAAAACAAGATTAAAATGAAATGAAATGAAAAATAAAAGTTTCATACTAATTTAAATTCATACGTGAAATCACTACCACTTCGATTTAAATGAATATCTCATAGGGGAGCAGCAGACTATTCCTGCCCTCTTTCTGGAGAAGAAGGGATTGTAAACCTCAATAAAGTATCATAACTCATAGAAAATCTTTGTGAACTTAATGGCATTGCTCAGTTGCATTGTGCCCTTATTGAGGAACTAGTCAGACTATGCCTTTATGGCCTGTTTGGAGAGATTAAATTGCAAACTGGTTTTGAAATCTTCCAATTTTTCAATCATCTAAATTAATTAAAAAAAAAAAAAAAACCACAACCCACAACACAGTGACCTTGGATTTTTGGGTTCTAACTGTTGCCTTGATTTACTGTAAGACCTAAGCTTCTAAGTCTCGCAGACATTTTGGGTGAAGGATACCCATAAAGCCATGTAACCCCAGTTTACCAAATTCAGACAAATAAAAATAATCTCTTCATAGCTTACATTCCTACATATCACCTGCCAGATGTCAGATTCATTAAAAATACATTTGAATATAATTTAAATAATTAAAATGCCATTTAAAAACATGCATAATTGTTTGCCAGAGGCCCTTGCGCACCAGAAGTAATAATTTCCACTTGTTGTGGTGACTTGATGAGCTCAGGCTGAATAGTTCCAGTGTTTGAGCCAAGGTTTGCTTTAGTCACAGCCTGATGTTGCAATTAAGTTTAAGACCTGGGAGTTTATTGCTCAGATGGGTTATCTGGTTTTGTTACATGGAGTCTAATGAATTTGATGATTAGTCTGTTGTCTTTTACTGTCTGTTTCCAAAGTAATTTGTGCTTGGCTTTTGACTGCTAATAAAATTTATGGAAAAGTTCAAAACACTGGAGAGAAAGGTATTTTTTTTGTGCAACTGTTGTAACCATCAAATAGGATATAAATGCTGACTAGTAGGATTAATATTTCACCAGTAGAAGCCCTGTAGAAATGCTAGGAAAGGTAGTACTCTCAATCAATTTGATCAGTCTCTAGCTTTTGATAGGTACTTTTATAACTGGGCTCTCTATCCGCACAACATAAATATACATCTTAAAAATCAAACATGTTTTTAAGTCTGATTGACCACAATTATGGATTTAATAAATTTCTAAAGACAAGTTCAGAAGACTACTAACCCACAGTGACTAGTTCTTTGTATTGGGACTAAAGACAACATAAATGCTAAAGCTTTCCATATTGCTGAGGTGCAAAGGTATAGCAGATATCTACTAAAAAAAAATCAAGGTGGGGAGAGAAGCAGCCAGAAAGAAAGTACAAGGTTGCCCGCCGCAGCACTGCGAATGCTTGGCAGCACTATGTCAGACCTGCAGGAGCCAGGGCCTTGCTCCTCCTTTCTGTGAGGCAGATAAACTCCACAGAGAGGCATAAAGACTGGATACAAGAGAAAGCAGAGCCCTTTCCAAATGTCTCTTGTCTGCTTTTCCAGCATTTTCCCCAAAGTAGGAGAGAATAACAAAAAGACATATTCTAAACTCAAAAGCAGATACTTTTCACCTATTTTTGACAAACTTCCAAGATTTTTCCCCATCTGTGACAACTACATAATTTTCACCTCTTGCTAATGGCTTTCCCTTAGTGACAGTAAGTGCTCTTGAGTATATAGGTAACATTCAGTTTGAGATCACATTTGATTGTTAACATTTTCCCACCTCCACTGCAATGCAGAACTTTCAGTCTTGCAAAACAAAAAGCCATTTTAGTGTCTAGAGAAAATAACAAAACTAGTGGGGAAAGCATTCACTAACTGAGATAAAATCCTGCCACCTTCATTACCACTCAGCATTCTGCACTTTGAGAGTAGGTATTATTTAGTGTGAATAATGACAACAGAATCTCAGCTTGATTTCCAAAGTTATTTCTGCATAATTTATTCAAAAGATAAATTCCCTAATGAAAGATCCTGGATCCACTTTAAACCAACATTATTTCATCTATAATTACTGCCTCAGAAATACTGTACTAACTGCCATTTATCACTGTCAGTGACTTTTGAATTCCTGCTACAACCATGGTATCCCATTGGGTTTGTTTTTCTACAAGAGAACATGATGTTTCTAGTTTGGCATGGCCCTAAAAAAGGAGAACAAAAACTGTCATGCCCTAGAAAAATATTTAAATGAGAGTAAGATAATTCATTTCCTTGTAGTTATTTCCAGCATAATGCATTATATTTGCCATCTGAAGTTTCTTGAAGGTCTTCAGTTCATTAGTGCTTCCCTCACCCCTTTCTTTTCTTATGAGCTGAGTACCCATTATCCATCACATTTCTCATGAAGCTTGGAAAAAAATAGATTCACTGGCTCTTAGAGCTACATTTCAGTCAAAAAACCCACACTTCCTCATTATGAAAATCTAATCTTTCATTAGGAAACACTTAGGAAGTAAATGTACTTCAGAACATTAATTTGCAATTGGTTCAGTATGAGCGTTAGGGAAACTATTTGTGGTGTGTCTTAGTTCAGTGTCCATTTAGATAAGCAAAACCTAGACTTGATTCAGGTTATGACTACAACAATATTTTTATGTCTTTTACTTTATTATGTTTGCTGGTATACAATGGAAGACTTCAGAAGCAAGTAGAACAAAAAAAAGATAACTGGTTACTGGTAAAAAACTTTGTTTCCCCTCACTTTGTGAAGATTCTCCTGTTATTGTTCACCAAAAGTGGCACATAAAACCTTCAGGCTTCCTTTTTAGCACATCCCCATTTCTCTGTGTATTTTGGATATAACTCTTACCTTGTGCTAAGATCATAAGAAAAGAAAAGCAAATCACTTTTTTCTTGTTACTTGCTAATTCAAAATCAACAGTTACCTCATCTGTGTATTAGTGACAGCTGTAACAGTTTTCAGTCCTAAAGCTGCACTGGAAACATCCTCATTCTCAATTGTCAGTAGAAACTGTCTCCTTTAAACAGAAGGTATACAAAATAAAATTCTCCTGGAAAGGCCTCTCCTTAAAAAGCATCTTGTTATTTAATTTGTTCTCAGATAATTGGCAATTTACACAGTAATTTGTGTCCAAGAATTCCAGACACAGTAGAGAAGAGAAGCTTACACAGAGTTCTACCAGGTGGCTGGTACACAGCCCTACCATGAAGACACAGCCCTGATGCCATGTGTGAAGACTGCACCCTCCCATCGAGAGGGCATAAATCATCTGTGCATCACAATTTGCACAGCCTTGTTATGAGCAAAGACTATGAGGACTGTTTGCCGGTACTGAGCATGCTGGAGCTATCAACCTCACTGACTACAAAAAGTGCAAGACTGTCACTTCGATTGCTGGTGTACATGCAAACGCAGAGCACGTGGGAGCAGTAACACCTGAGCCCTTCAAATGTTGAAACAATTATCCTAGCACCTCAACCAGCAGTCAGCATGGTGACCTGTGGCGAGGTCCTCTATTATGTATTATCAGTAACATTGCAGGGAAATGCTCACGTTTTGTGAGATTAAATGGACAATAGGAATTGTAGTCAGTTTCTTTTCTCATGCCTGAATAGTCTGTATTTATCTCCAGGCAATAGGAGAGAAGGAAAGTACAGAGAGCTTGCACTGTCATCTGACTGTTTTAACTCTTCAGACTTCATCTTGGAGTGGAATGCAATATATAATGAAACTATTATTTTTTTTTTAAGCTAGAATGAGTTCTCAGTAATGCCCTAACTTTCAGAAAACACAAACTGCATTTTTCAGACAGTGAAGAAGAGCTCTTACCTTCTCTAGTGAGAGAGTTCCAATAGAAAATGAGTTGATTTTCTGCCTTTACAAGCCTGGAAATCAACAAGCAGATTTTCATGCACATACCTGATAGTCCACCGACATCCATCTTCTTCAGGTTCTTTGCCTCCAGAATGACGACAGTCAGTTTGCCAGCAGTAGGCACATAACGAAGGGAGAAGCAGATATCACCCAGTTTTTCTTGCTGTGAAAGTAAACAAGACACGGTGTTACATTTTAATCATTTTTTGTACCTTTTAAAAACGCGATTTCGAAAGCCCCACAGAAAATTAACAGGATTACATCTCAAATTCCCACTGTTAAACAAAATGTTCAAATTAACAATATGAGATATCTGCCACAAGTTGCCCAGCTTAAATCCTTAACCTCCAGTCTGTTGCAGCAACTGGACTCCACAGCAACTATCCTGCATGGAGCCAAATGACAAGATATTTGCTGCCTGCAAAGTAAATTATACTGCTCAGCATTTCACCCCTGACAAACAGGGTCCCACAAATACTGTTTGCCCTTAGTTAAACTAAGTCGTAACTGGTTTTTTTCTTTCCCTCCAGGTTGTGTTTCAGTGGAAATCAATTAACACACATGGATACACAACTACTAGACTGTTTTCCATGAAACAGTAACATGGGTCTTTCTCACCACACTTTGTCACAAAAACAAAAAGTATAAAAAACACAAAGCACAAAACATTCAGTATAAAAAAAGACTTGTCTCCTATCTGATACACAAAACCCCCCCCCAAAAACAAAGAGAAAAGCACACAGTGCATTCCTCCTCACGTCACAAATGGCTGGAAGGATTATTTAGTTTTGCCTTCAGCCTTGCAGCCCATCACCTGGGAACCTGCCACACACAACCTTCTGCTATTCACTGCTTAGTATCTTCCTAATAGTCCTGGCAAAAAGGGCAAGGGTGAATTACATTCAGAATTACAGGAACTTTGTTTTAAAAGGAGGAATAATAGATTTGAACTTGCAGATATTAGAGAGAGAGAGAGAGAGAGAGAGAGAATACTGCTTAGAAATGATCATTAGGCTAATCCAAGCTGCTTTCCTCCTTCCTTTCAGGCACAGTGGTATCTCTAGGGGGGTAACGAGGTTGCCTTTGAGACAAGAAGAATCAGGTTACACTGAACAGTCCAATAAAGCATTTCAGAAAGCAATGCTTCTCTTTCAAAGACAGTAGTTCCTATGGCATATGTCTGATTCCACAATTTATTCTGGTAGTAGAGTATAAAGTACATTTCTATGAAGACATATCTCTTTGTTTCCAGTGTTTTGTTAGAATAAATTGGAAGGTTGGTTGTTGAAAAGTTTTGGGGGTGTATTCGAGCTTTTTGTTAAGGCACTAGGTAATTTATTGCAGGAATTATTCACCTTTACCCTGTACCACAAATTGAAAAAGAAGATGGCAATTTACCGGGTTCAAAGAGCCAAGAGGAAAGAGGCAAAGTCAGAACCTTACCCAAGAATCTGGGGGAACACTACTGAGAGCAACTGGCTCACATGTTCATGGATGTAGTGGGAGTTACCTAGAGAAGAGACAGCCCATGTCCTAAGGACTTTATCACCCATGTAAAAGGAACCAGAATATTCCTTTACAACCAGGAGCTCAAGCTTCCAAGTCATTTAAGAGAAACTGAACTTCATCGACTAAGCCAAATTTTCATCATCAGGGGCAGTTCTCTCAGCTCTTACACACAATCCCTTTTTATACAGGTATACTGCAGATGCTTATCCATCTGAAGGATGCATGCCAGATACTCAGCTATACTTCAGAGTTTACATCTTCCTCCCTTATCAAAAGGTGTGTGGGCTTGCCTCAGAAGACTTCCCTGGGGATGCGGGATTCTTTGTTGTTCCCAACAATGGACTGGAGCAGTATACATTTAGAACGGTATCATGTAATTATTGTTCCTTCTAATTAAAAAAAAAAAAAAACAACTAAGAAACTACAACAATAATGCAATACCTATAAAGTGACAGACTCTGAATTGATTATTACAAGTTGGGAATGAGATCCAGGGACTGTAAATGATAACTCCCCACAAAACATTAGCTCAATGATCACCACCAGTCAGGAAATATACAGAACACACAAGCTTATATATAGTTAGGAAACACTCATAGAGAGAACACAACAAAATAGCTCATGATGTTAAATGCCTGTATCATGTATAAAAACGCTGGCAGAATGCACATGTGCCAGTACCTTGAAAACTTACAGTGCTCCCCCCACTTCAAAAAGAATACGGTAGAATTGGGAAAGATT